AAAAAAATTACAATGGTGCATCTCTACCACAATCATCACATATGTTTTAATTATCTCACATGTCACAGAGCAATAAAGAAACCTAATCTCTGATGTTTTATCCAAATAAGGGTTATTAAAATCCAAGAACACAGCACCACTTAGACTACACTTCCTGTCTGGTGATTAGCAGTAAAAGTGGGGAAATGCATGTATCTGTTCAGGGAATACAGTAATTAGCGTGTCAGTAAACTCCACTGCTAAGTTAAACTGCAAATCAATGACCTTCTGTAGTTTTACATAAATTGCAATCCTTTTTCTGAGCCAAAAACAAGAATTTCAGCTAAACATGCAGTACTAATATAGGTGAAAATGTCCAGGAAGGAATTCATGCAATGTAAATCACTTCCAGCATGAAATATCAGTATGCACTGCAGCCCACCAAGTCTGTCCAGATCATAAATTAACTTAATATACTGTAGAGTTGCTATTTTTAATTTTTTATATTTATTTATAAATTTTAAAAATCAAACAATGACACAGATACAACCTGTCATTTTTAACTTGGACACGTTCAGAGCATTAAGAAAGAAGGGGACAAGTGACAAATACACAAAATCAGGTCTGGCTTTCTAGAGCTAACAAATTTTGACAATAGCAAATCCATAAATTAATAAGTAAGATTTTTAAAAACTAATGAGTGCCACATTATCTAGCAGTGATGCAGGAGCCCATTACCAGAAATTACAAAACAACAATAACAGAAAACGTAATAAAAATACATCCGCTCCTTTCATCATTCCTCTGTTCTCATTTCTGTGACATCATTTTCACAAACTCTGTAAAGAAAATAAACATAGTTTCAATAAGCTATGTTATTCTTGCTCCGTGAAGCTACAAATATTTATTCATTCTTATGTAAATGTTGCAGCCTTGCAGCAGCATTATTGATGACATAGATTTGCCAGCAAAATTGAAATATTGGTAAATACGTGTGTAATAAGTTTTTCTACCGAGGACTGTCACAGTATTGGGAAGACAAATTTTGAATATGTACTTGTCACAACAACAAAAGCACAAGTTAAACTAACTTCCTTTTCCTTGAGGTGAGTGTAATTATAAATTGGCACTATATAAGTTAAAACTAAGCTGAATGCACAACTTCTTTATGTTTCTTTAAGTTTCCAGTTTCACAGTTATAGTAATAGTAATATTATTATGTGAGGTAACACAAAATAATATAAAAAGTTGCTGTAAAATGAAATATTTTTTTTTGTGGTCTATGTTTGTTTAACTTACCCTCAAAGTCAACTGTTCCATCACCGTTGTTGTCAGCCTCCTTGACCACTGCATCAATTTCATTTTTGCTGGTGTGTTTGCCCATCAACTTCAACATAGCATGTTTCATCTCATCAGAAGTGATAGCACCATCGCCATCTAAATCAAACTGCAGAAAAGAGGAAGAAGCCATCCAAATATTGCAAACCTTTTAGAGTTCTGCTGCATGAGTTTCATGCTCTAACAAAGTTTTTTAAGGTAAGTTCATGCACTGTCCACCATGGGGTGCCAAAGACCACAAAGTAAGTCAAAGGTATGCTTACCTCTTTGAAAGCATCTTTGAGTTCCTTCAAACCAATCATCCCTGCAGTTTCATCCAGAAGCTTGGGGGTCATTAGGTCGACAAAATCCTCAAAATCCACCCGCCCACCAACTGCAATAAGATTTCGATAACATAGTTTAAGCCATAACATAGTTGATAACATAGTTTAAGCAGGGCATTTGTCTTCCTGTGATGATGGACTAGAATGAAGTACTTTACAATAGTGTTTCTATGGGTTTCATAAATGTCCATATGTACACACACTGACATACAAAGAGCCAAATGATCATAAAATGCATTATGATGACCAATGTTATTATACCCATATGAAATAGGAAATGTCAGCTTTAATGAACCATTTTCAAGTCAGGTTTCCAGAAACTTTAAGAAGAAATGATGCCATGTTTCTATTTGTGTTTGTTGAAAAATAATAAAAGAACAAGCGAAAAACAAAAACATAATCAACAAATATGGGACTTTATTACCTATTTAAAAATGTCAAATGTGTGTCACAGAAAAAAAGGTGTTTTTTAATGTCACTGTTATATTTGTCTGTATTATTCTTCATAAAATCTGATAGTTAGATTGATTTTTTAATAAACTGTAGGTTTTAGTTTTACTTTGTTGTCACATTACTCACGGTTCATGTTGATGTTTTGGCTCAGTTCTATCAGCTCCATTTCAGTTGGCATATAACCCATGGTCCTCATCAAGTTCCCCAAGTCTTTACAGCTTATTAAACCATCCTTGTCCTTATCAAACTCTACAAAAGCTTCACGTAACTCTGTGGAGCATACAATTTGAGGAAAAGTGAGAAATGTAAAGAATTATACAACCTTTTATAAAGTAAATATGAAAGCGTAACATATAATTACCTTCTATCTCATCACGTGTAAGTGCTCTTGACTGCAAAACAGTTTAAATGAAAATGATATTAGTAATGCTTCAGTAGTGCCACAAATTTGACCTATTTGGTAAATGAAGCACCCTTCATCTGTTGTTCTTGGACAGATGTTACCAAATCACGCAACACATTCTCATCCCTGGTGACAAACGACTCTTTCTAAAAGTAACAGTCATGCATGCAGTGTATTTCTGCAAGGCTCCTTAAGCTCTGCATACAAATATATAATCATGTTCCCTGTGTAATAAGCACACCCATAACACATTAGCTGAAACTGCTTTTGTTCAATGACTTTAAGATATGTAAGTGTGTATAACTTATTTAAACATTACTGCAATAAAATATTGTAAGCTAAGAAGTGAGAGGGAGTTAAAGTCACTCAGGCATGATAAATGAAAATCTTTAATACAATTGTGTGAGTGAAGTACATTTATAGTTGTTTATGTAATTATACTTTTGTCTGGGATATTCTTCTAACAGTTGCTATCTTTATTCCCGAATGGTACATGTTTTAACATGTACTATTATGTCCATATACACACTTGCATGGCATGTTCTTTAGCTACAGCATCTATCTGATCAAATTTCCTGTGCAGAATGTCCTGTGTAGATCATAGCCTTCATTTGGTTAACCTATGTTTGTTAAAATTATGTATAAAGTGTCTTGTTACTATGAAATTAAAAAATGTATTCAAAGAAAATGAGAGAAAAGCATCCTGGTGAGGAACCAAACAAAAATCGGCCTTAGAATTAGTTCTTTAAGGCTGTTTCCTCATTAGCTGAAAATTCTACGATATAAGAATTACCATAGGAACCAAAACAACTATTACAAAAAAAAAAAAAAAAAGATTTTCTGTTGACAGAAAAACTTACTTTTAATCTGCCATTTAGAAATTTAAGATAAAGCCATAAAGTCACAGGATTAAACTGAAATCATAAAAGCATGTTTACTTACATGTCTCTTTTTGGCTCCTTTGAGAAAGATGCAGGGCTGTTTAAGACTCATGATGCCAGATTCAGTCAAGATCCCCGAGCTATGTGTATTTGTGAATTTCTTTCTTATAAAACTATAAATTCCTTCTGTTTTTAGTGTGAGCAAGTGAGAGTATGTGTGTGTGTGTATGAACTGAGATCAGCTGCGGTCCACATACGCCAGACGAGGCGAGGGATGTCTCATATGGATTATCTCTGCCGCTTTGGTCTGGAAAAGAAAGATAGGCTTAAATGCTGTGCATATAGATATTTCACATATGTGTTCAAATGTTACCCTGTACATAAAAAAAATAAGCTTTTTAATTTGTTACATCAGTTTTACTATCTACAATCTGCTTTCATTACATATTTAAAAATAGAAAAAAAGGGTTTCTTATATGACCCCTCAGTTAATGCTTAGGATTAGTCTCTACATGCAAACAATCAGCGAAAACAAAGAATCGCTGTGACTCTTACATGCTTTATATGAGAATACAGCAGTGTCCTGTTATATGACCATATAAACCAATGCTTTGTCAAAATTTTATGATGTGTGTAACATCGTCAATCTGCATCATATTCTTAAGTCTTAACTCATAAATACACATTATTTGCTGCATCACATAATTTTAAATAAATAAGCACGTGAGCAATGTGACGCCTCAAAATAAATACAGGAAAATGAGATTGTGACAGTTAGCTCAGGCATCAGATATGTATTTAAAATGATACGTGTTTATATAACAGATTAACTGTATTCACCACATAAAATTGTCTTTGTGTAGTTATGTCATGTCCTGATGTCTTTTGTAAAAACTATTAATGAAATGAATATTAATCAGGGTTACATCATCCTCGTGCTTGTAACATTTTCCAAATTGTTAAGCAGTAAATAGGTTTTGCCCATAATGACGCCAGACAAGAAGGACTGTTGGGTACCTAATAACAATCACTTTGTTAATAAAGACTTTTTTCCTGAGTTTCTCCTGACATTATCAAAGTACCTTAAGTGGTAGTTTGTGTCAATGGATTTGTTCTTTTCTCCCTATTCATCATAAGTACAGGCTGGGGATTAGGAGAAACTGGTCAAAATTCAGCTGTTCATTAAATCATTTATTTTTGATGGAACAAAAATAAATATTAGGCTTGTGGGAAGTGTGGTAGCAAACTGAACATGTTTGTTAGTGAAAGCAGAAAAACAGGAATAAATTCCATGCAACATTTAGCTGCATTTTTATTTCTATGACCCAGACAAATCTGCCCCTCCCACTTAAGATCTGAGAGCAGATATCCAGATGGTAAACTGGATATTTCTGCCCTGCTGTTGACTGGATGTTTTCCTTCATTAAAGCAACTGCGCTCTCTGGAAGAGTGTATGTGTGACAGAGCAAATGCTGTTTCGATTAACAGCCTGCATATATGTGTGTGTGTGGAAATGAGTGAATATGGCTTGTACTGTAAAGCACGTTGAGATAAATGTTACTGTAGTATTGTCACAATGGCCAGTGAGTCTTGAAGGTTTCCTGTTTTCTTGTCTTTTGAAACATGCAGTATCATCTTTAGAGACTTACTGCCCCGTCTCTACATACCTCTGGGACCACAGCTGTAGATGTGAAACTGCTTTAAAAAACGATCAGCACTACAAATACAAGTTCTTAAAACAGAAGGCACACGTTTCACTGCACACATTTGAATGTCAGCAGGTGTCCAGGCCTGAAGTGGTGAATACACTGTATGCAAACTTAATCATAAGAACAAACAAACACTGACAAATCTAAAGTATTAATGCTTTTTTCTTTCTGTAGGAGACAATTTCTAGAAATGTGATGTTTAAATGTATTTTTTATTTTATTTTTTAATCTAATGGCTCATTTTGATGATTAAAGACGCTTGACTAATGATGAAAGACAGAAATGTTTTGCATATCATAGTTAAAATATCAGCAAGGCATGAAACTGAAATTTAACAAGCACAACCAAAAACATGTGCAAATGTGATTTTTTTTTTAGTTTGAAACTTTTTTTTCCCACTATGCAAACTCACATCTTCCTGTGCAGATTAGGAAGGAGTAATAAGAAACAGTTTAAATCTGTTTCACAGAGGTCAGCCCTGAAACAGAATTAAACACCCGCAGTAGTCTGTCAGGATTTGAATCACAAATAATATGACTGTGTTTCCAAAGAAGCTGAGTCACTGTAGAAGATGTAAATCATTCTCAATTGTTCTTAAAGAAAGTCTGCATTGGGGTGCTATAAAAAATATACCAATTTTCAAATAATTTAAGCCCTCCTTTGAGTGTATGCTTCAAATTTCTCAGAATATAACAAACAGACAATAACGCAGAACTAATTACAAAGAAACAACGCTGCTCTATTATGTGGAGACAATGCTGGTACATGTGATGTCCATGAATTTCTGTGCTTTTCAGTACAGACTCATGTCCTCATTCAGTGTTCACTGTTTTTGTCCCTTTTGTACAAAAATGTCTTCAATTTCTCTGAAGTGTTTATTGATTGTGTATTACAGACAAAGGAAAATGCTTAATGTGAATTGAATTTGCCAAATTCACACATTAGTGAGACCCTCCACATCTTTACTTCTGCCTTAGCATCTCAGGGATGTTATTTTTATACTAAGCAATTGTTATTGATGAACTTCATTAGTTAAATGTTCCAGTAGATGATTTTTTTTATTAGCATTACACACCTTCTCAATTGATTAGTTGCCCCTGTCTCAACTTTTTAAAAATTAAATAATCTTTGACCATGACTACATGAATGATCCAGTGTGGACTTCTTATCTTTAAAAAGTCAAATAAGGTGCATAAGAAGGTGGTTTGTACTGTCACCTTACTGCAAGAAGGTCCTGGGTTTGTATCCATGTTGGGCCTTTTCTATGTGAAACTCGCATGTTCTCCCTGTGCCTGTGGGTTCTCACCCTGGACTTCTACTTCCTCTCACAGTCCAAAGAGATGCTTTTCATGTAAACTGATGATTCTAAATCCTTAGGATGACAAACACACTGACTGTGCTGCTGGTTGTTTTCTTTCTGCCATGTGAGTGGTTCTGCTTCTTCACTATGAAGAAACACTGTCTCTGCTGTGTATTACTGTTCCAGAGACACATTAAATTAATCAAATCCTGATGCAAATGCAAATGTGTGAAGTGTACTTCTGTCCTGCTGACCCATCTTATACTTTGTGTTGCTCATCAGAGCAGCAGTGGAGAATCTTCAGGCTTCTTTCTGCCATGTGAGTGCTTCTGCTTCTTACTGTTTCATCATTAACCAGGAAAACTGTGTCAGTCAGGTGTTACAGGTCAGAATTTGGAGTCCATTCCTTCCAGTCCTGTAATGAAAAGGCCAAGGAAGACTCTCAGTCTCTCCTGCAGGGGATCTGGTTCTGAATTTACCTGCTGTGCTATGAGCTGGATAAGACAACAACCAGGATAGGAAACCTTCCAGCAACAACAAATATGCGAGTAGTTTGAGTGGACGTATAGAAGTCAGTAGAGATGACAGCAACTACATAGTGTATCTGAGGCTTTCCAACTTAAAGCCAGAGGACTCTGCTGTGTATTACTGTGCCAGACACACACAGTGGTTTAAGTAATGAGAGGCTATATAAAACCTTCAGCCATACAGTTTTACAGGGATCTACAGTGGGCAGTAGATGATCAAGAATATAATATTCATCTCACTGACATGATAATGCTTGTGATTCTTCCACGTGTGAATACAAATTTAAAAAATGTAATAACCTCTAACAAACATATCAGAGATCCATCCATTCGCTTCCGCTTATCCTTTTCAGGGTCGCTGGAGCCTATCCCAGCTGTCATAGGGCGAGAGGCGGGGTACACCCTGGACAGGTCGCCAGTCTGTCGCAGGGCCAACACACAGGGACAGACAACCATTCACACTCACACCTAGTGGCAATTTGGATTTTCCAATTAACCTATCCCCACAAGCTGCATGTCTTTGGACGGTGGGAGGAAGCCGGAGTACCCGGAGGGAACAAACACGGGGAGAACATGCAAACTCCACACAGAAAGACCCCAGCCTGATGTTGGAATTGAACTCAGGACCTTCTTGCTGTGCGGCAACAGTGCTAACCACCGTGCCAACCACCGTGCCACCGTGCTGCCAGAGAATAAATGTATAAATACATTTAAACACTAGCAATCAACCATCAATATTTCGAGTCTACCTTGAGTCTGTATGTTTCAAGAGCATAGCTTTAAAAAACATGTGTTGTTTGTTTTTTATTTTGAGATAGAGAACCAGTATTTTACTTGTCTCTTTCCTAGGTGTTCCAGAGAAAAGGATGTTGATCCTCAAACAGTGAATAAAAGCAAACACATCTGGAAGTATTTAAAACATGCTTTAGTCAGAGAGTTTACCAGTGCAAGAGACAACAGCAGGGTCAAACAGTCATTTCCCTTTTTCCTAAACATTTTCCGTGAAGCTTTCATGAGGAGGACCAACGATGAGAAATAGGAAAAACATTGAATTGCAATCCACATACACTAGGCTACTTTACTTTCGTATTAATGAACACTGTTGATGTGGATCTGCTGTGGTGAATATACAAGTTTTGAAATGTGGCATACAACAACGGTGTTTCATATAGATTTCTTCACCAGATTCAGTATAAGAGAACACGGCACCAGAAGAAACCCAAACTGAACTCTACTGAAACAGCAAAGATGATGTTTGTAGTATAACTTTTAAAAAACTGGGGCAAAGCATACCTGGGTCAACAACTTAAAGACCCCTCCCTAACTTGATTTGATGGCCACCTTTTTCCTTCCCTTTGACAGGATGAAACCTTCAGCAGAACCAAAGTCAGAGACGGCAGCTCTGTGTTCTGACTGAGTGGCGTGAGTAAAAAGCAAAATCACCAGACACAACAGAAGCAGCATGGCGTATCTGAGACTGTCCAGTGTAAAGCAAAACCACCCACAGTAATACAAATCACCAGGAGATATAAACATGAACCTGAACACTCTTAATATGAAACCACCAGAAGAGGAACCCTCAGAACACTAATGATTTCAGATCAGTATCATAAGAAACATCTTAGATGTACGTTAGATAATGTTGAAAATACATGAATATTATACATAGATATAAAACTCCAAACAGAAAAACCAGAACCAGATAGTGGATTCAAACCC